TCGGCATACCTATTTGAAGGAACAAGGAATTATTGTGAACGCGACATATGACTTCTGCGACGCGTGTGTGCTTGGAAAGCAGTGTCGGGTACCGTTTCGTTCTCGCAAACGAAAAGCGTCCACTCCTGGTGAGGTGGTCCATGCAGACGTGTGTGGTCCAATGCAGCAGACTTCAATCGGCGGATCGCGCCGAGTATTTTTTCTAAAGCAGAAAAGCGAAGTAGCCGAGTGCCTGAAAATTTTCCTGAACGAGGCAAGGACTGTCGGACACACAGTTAAGGAGTTCTCCTGCGACGGTGGCAAGGAGTTCGTAAATTCGGATGTGAAGACAATCCTGAATGCAGGCGGCGTGAGGATGCGAGTGACCATGCCGTATTCACCAGAGCAAAATGGGACCGAACGCTGGTGGAAAGCGCTCGGACTATGCTTCAGGCAAAACAACTTCCAACTTCCTTGTGGGCGGAGTCAGTAAACACAGCAGCATACTTGCTGAATAGGACAGGCCCAACACCCTCTGACAATTGTCTTAAGACGCCGTACAATTTGTGGTTCGGTAAGGAGGCAGTTACTCCCTTTCCTTTTAAGGTTTTTGGCACGGCATGTTTCGTCCACGTTCCAAAACAACGCAGGCGAAAATGGGACAGCAAAAGCGTACAAGGACGCTTTGTAAGCTACTGCGGAGAGAAGGACGGTTTCCGTGTGTGGATACCTCGAACCGGAAAAGTTGTGAGCAGTCATGATGTCATCTTCAAGCCAGAAACGACGGTTGTCACCAGCAAATTCGACGAGTGTGTCGAAGGTGTGTCCAGAAGTACAGCAACCAACTTTGCAGACCAGGTCCACCCTGATGGAGTCGAGCTTACGAATATTCAGCCACTCTCGTTGAATTTAGGAAAAGTAAGGGCCAAGGCTGATGACGAGGAGGTGCCCATCCCGATATCCCCACAAGAATCTACGACGTCAGAGGAAGTCGAGGACAGCCAATCGGTGAGAACGTTTGAGTCGTCAGAGGACGACTTTCAGGAGAATCAAAATCAGTTTTCCGAGGCAGGCGACGAAGACAAACAACCTGGACACCCGGCAGGTGGAAGATCTCAACGAAAAGTTGGGGATCCTTGATACCTCGAGGATTATGTTCTCTCGGCGGAGACTGTGGAATGTCAATCCTACAATTCTGCAATCAAGTCGGAGGCAGCCGTCGAGTGGAGGCATGCTATGGACGACGAGCTCGTGGATCCACCCCCAGGTAAGAAGATTGTTGGAAATCGATGGGTTCTACGAGTAAAGACCAACCCAGACGGATCAGTACAGCGCCACAAGGCGCGTCTGGTAGCGAAAGGATTCACGCAAAGAAAAGGAATCGACTACGCAGAAACGTTCAGCCCGGTGGCACGTTTTGACACCGTGAGGACTATTCTAAGTGTTGCGTCCAGCGAAGATTTGATGCTGACACAATTTGACGTAAAAACTGCGTTTTTGTATGATCAGTCGACCTACATTAAGCAGGTTCTGGAACGCTTCAACATGATGGAGGCGAATTCGGTGACCACACCCTGTGACAGCCACCTGGAGGATCGAGAGGACGACCCCCAAGTTGGAGAATCGACTCCATATCGAGAGGTTATCGGTAGCCTCATGTACCTGATGGTGGGTACACGACCCGACATCGCCTACGCGGTCAGCGCAGTCTCGCAGCACCTGGCGCAGCCTCGACAGTCTCATTGGATGGCTGTGAAGCGTATACTTCGCTACTTGAAAGGCAGCATCGACTGCGGCCTATTCTATCGACGAGGGGACAGTTCGCTGGAGGCATACAGCGACGCTGACTACGCAGGAGACATCACAACGAGAAGGTCCAGAAGCGGAGTTGTCTGCAAGTTCGCCGGAGCAGCCATTACATGGATCAGCAAGAAGCAACAGTGCGTTTCTGTCTCGACAACTGAAGCAGAATATGTCGCTGCATTCGAAGGCGTAAGAGAGGCCATCTGGGTCAACCGCCTTCTGTCCGAGATGACAACGACAAACACACCGTGTCTTCAGATCGACAATGCCAGCGCTTTGAAGCTCGCAAAAAATCCAGAGTTCCATAAGCGCACCAAGCACATTGACGTGAAGTATCACTTCATAAGGGAAAAATTCAAGGAAGGCTGCATAAAGCTTGAGCATGTGGCCGGAACAGAACAAATCGCGGACATTCTCACGAAACCACTGCCGCGTCCACATTTTGAGAAACTGCGTGACATGCTGGGAATGACGACCAGACAAAAAGTGTTAAAAGTGAAAGACTAGAAGTGAACTATGACTTATATTTTGAAAGGAAATGTTGAAGGAGCAAAATACTAACTTTATAAACTTGACAACGCTGCTTTAGCAATATGTAGTGACCTCGGTAGTGACTTTTGACCTAGTAAGTTGGTACAATTGAACTGACATAAACCAAGAACAATATGGTAGCCACGTAATTTTTCTCTTGCGATTTTGTATAAAGTGTAATCTGTTAACATCAAAGCTCTGTTGTGTTCCTTATTAATGTTTTTGTAACGTTCTATGAATAAATCTCGATTACGGAATTTGTTAAACTCTGCGTTTTAGTAAAACCAAAATTCCCGTAATAATGTCGACTCTTTATGGAATGAACACGTATAACAATGTAGTAATGTATTATTTGACTTTTAACGGGTGATCTATATTGAAATATCCATACGAAAGGCACTTTACTGATAAATATGGTTATAATTGCTGGCAAAACATGCGTGGGCTTCAAGAAATCTTTTAGTTTTGCATATTTAATTATTTTTGCAAAAAAATAAGTTTTAATAAAAATGTGTTTTTTAAACAAAATTTGAACCAATTCTAAAAAACTAACTTAAAAAAACATAAAAAAGTTGTTATTTTATTTCAATGAACCGTAAAAATCTAAAAAAAAACAAATCTTTCTTTAATGGCGTCCATCGTCACCTCTTCGTTTTGTTTGCGAAAATGGCGTAGTCAACAAATTAACCAAATTTGTCCACATACCAACCGACGGTCAATAAAAGACGTCTTAACGACGTCGGTAGCTCGAAATACCAATTTCCGACGAAGTTTGAGACCTCCAGTCATTTAAACTACCTATTTTTTCCTCGTAACAACCTACCTAACTTGAAAATCATATGTCAAACTGAAAAACTGCGCTTTTTCTGTTAGGGAAGCTTTGCTAATTCGGTCCAATGTTGGTACTATTATTGTGTGTTGTCTATGTTATTATGGAGAATTTTAAAATGGTGTATGTTAAGGATTTGCCCCAAGGGGGAAGTGGAGCCCGTGCCGCATAGGTGGAAAGAGAAGGAGACACTCTGGTTCCCCAAATCAGTGAGCCAAACGATTCTCTTTCGAGAACAAATTAATAGTTCTCCCGATAAAAAAAATTGAAGGCAATATAAGTGCAAGGCTATGCAACCTTTAAATTTGCCACGGATGCTGCAAACAATAACTTCAGCATCTGAACAAGAGCACGAGGCCCCCATACATTACTTTACTTTACTTTACTTTACTTTATTAATAACAATTGTTTCATGAATACTAAGAGAGAGGTAAAACCTTCCCTAAAATATAAAGAGTATGATGATGTACCATCATATAAATTGGCTAAAGAAAATTTTATACCGCAACTAGCCAAAAAAGTGTGTCAGAAAAAGGCTGACGAAAACACTACAAAAATTCTTTTTTTCTTTTATTTTGGCATTTTTTTTATTTTAATATTGGTTATGTATACTATTTTCTTTTTCTTCTTTCTTCCAGACTATATTCCCGTCGAACAATTCTCGTAATTTTTTTTTAACCAAAGTTCGACTTGACGATCAACCGACGTAAATATACGTCGAACAATGACTTCGGATACAAAGTTATTATCCGACCGCAATTTTCACTTAAAGCGACGTCGAACATAGTGCAAGTTTAGTCGAAAGTCAGAAAAATGTTTATTGGGTAACAGCCTCTACACTCGACCTAGTAGTAAATGCATTGTTCCCTTGACAAATTAATCTTTTTCTATAAAATTATAATTTATAATTATCTATAGATAATTAAATGTATTCATGACCACATATTTTTTGTTTTACATTTTATGTTCAAAATTATGCATTAAATTATTGCATAAATGAAGTAAAAGCATAAATAAATTCGGATAAATAAATGGGAAATAGTGAGATTAGGATCGTTAGATCGACATTTATTATTTTTAATTTGAATAGAAATAATTTCCTCCTAAAGTCGTAAGGACATTTTTTGCAATTTTTTCTTTTAAAATTCATGGACTTTTTAATTTTAAGTCTGGCATTAAAAATTAGTATTCCCCCTTTTTGCTACTAGGCCGAGCGTAGAGGCTGTCTCCAGCCTCTTAATTGCATAAATGATGCGGATTTCACCACCTTCTAAGGCACAAAATAAATAAAGGTGATTTTGAAATGAAGTACCTTTACATATGTAGGTGCCTACAATGACATGCATCATTAACTTTATCAATAGAAATGTTTAATTCTTATCTCTTGTTTTATTCTTATAAGATTTAATTTTATTTTAATATGTGGTGAAAAATGTCTGTGTTGAGATATATGGTTGTTGTTACAAAAGAGGCTGTTTCAGAAAGTGTTAGGAAGAATATAACAAAGGTGACAAGTCGTGAGATTGAAGACCAAATAGCGATATGGATGACCAAAGCGCAAATGCGAATTGACGGAAACACATCAAAGTCCTAACGTGTCAGCGAAATATAATAATTATTACTAAGAAGATATATATCTAAATGTTTTTCAAATATTCAAAAAGCGGACATTTTAATAAGCCAGGAATATTCCAGGGAATATTCCATGGGATGCTTGGAATATTCCAGGGAATGTTCCTAACATATTCTGGGAATATTACTTTGCGGACTAATTAAACGGTGATTAATTATTCGATATATCGAATATATGTTAATCGCAACGTGGAGTAGGAAATGTGATAAAATGGCACATAATGTAGTAATTTTATATTTTGTAATAAATATAATATATTATAAATACTTATTATATTGATAACCTAATTTTATTAATTAAAGCAACTTATAACAGAAAACTTTTTTTAGTACTACCTTTTACATTTTCCTTTATAAAAATTAAATTTTCTTACAAAATTACAAACTCAGATTTTGCAGTCTAAAGTCTAAACACTTTTCCTTCTTAAACATTAAACAGCTGTACCTTGGCAAGTCTTGGAGTCTAAAGATAACTCCATACCTTCAGGACAAGCGCAGAAAGCGCCTCTTATTGTATTAATACAAATATGAGTACAGCCAGATTTTCCTTGGACGCACTCGTCGATGTCCACACAAGAATGTCTATCCTTGGCCAGGACTGTGCCAGCTCCGCAGCTGCAAACATATGACCCATATGTGTTCGTGCAGAGATCGTCGCAGTATCCGTGTCCATTTCTGCGCAGACACTCATTTACGTCCACGCATGATTTCCCATCGTCGTCGAGGCGAAACCCTTCTGCGCATCTGCATTGGTAGGAACCGACGGTATTGTGGCAGGTGGTTTGGCAGCCGCCATTGTTCAATTTGCATTCGTCTACGTCTAAAATAATTTTAATTAATTGGTTTAAAAAAGAATGTATGTAGGTATATAAGAATTTGTTATGACTAAAAACTTTTCGTATTTAAAATACAAAATTGTTTATTTTCTATATTTTTTTATATGAACGGTTTTGGTGATCGACTCTGATCCATACAGTATACCAATATGCTGAACTAGTTCATTGGTTTCTATTTTGTAATAACAATTCATTTTTTGTGTAAACTTGCATTCGTCGGCATTAGAAACCAATTAAATCAAATAAAATTTATTTAGTATAAAATATACACGAATAACAATAATAAAAATCCTTTGAATGAATTTTCGTAAACTTTTTTGTCAGAATTGGATTTGTTATATAAAAAAAGAACCAGAATGCCCGTTTAGATGCAGTACCCAAAGATAATACATATATATCTTTGGCAGTACCTACAGTCCTTTTTATTACTATAGAGATAAAAGTAATTTTCAGTAATTTGGTACCATCAGAAGTTGAAATATACAGGACGTCCCAAATCGAGCCCTGTCATGGCTCGATTCGAGGGAAAACGCACCGAAACAGCGGTAAAAAAATATTACGGAAAAACTTTATTAAAAAACTTGTTTAACCAAACCTTTCGGGCAGTGGCGGACTAAACCCGTCGGGGGACCGGGGCGGTAAAATAAAATGGGGCCCCTGGTCTGCTTATGAAATAATGTGATTGTTTTGTAAATATTAATGTTTTGTTATCTTAAATTGGTTAGTAGATCCTCTTAGCAAGTCCTTCGCACCACTCTTAATGTAATCAGGGATGTGAAAATTGATTACAAGCTTTTCCATCGAACTTATTAGTATACTTATATTTGAACTTGTTAATAATTTAAATTTTAAAAATCAAGGGGCCCACTCATGGCATTCTAACATTAACCATTATTTAATGTAATTATAACCTTTTTTCTAATTTCTGATGAATTGCAGCTAGGGGCTCCCGAGACCAAAATATTAAAAATCTTTTTTAGTTTTGACTTTATATATTGTTTTTTTTATGTTATTCTTTAGAAACTTGAAATCTCCGGTGTGTATTTTATGGTAAAGCTGGGTCCTGAAATATTTATACCTATACTATGGTTTTAAAAAAACGAAAAAATTTGGAAAAAATCAGGCCTTAAAAAATGTCTTTTTTGGGAAAAATTGATTTTTTTTTTAAAAATATATACATTTGAAAAGTAGCAATTAACAACTTAACATTACTTTAATTTAAAAAAATAAAAACATTGAATTAAATTAAATTGGTTTAAGAAAATAAATTAAAATAAAAGGAATAAATATAATCATAATATTATGATTATATTCAGCGTCGGAAATTCACTTTTTTCTCCATATCAGTGTACGGATGGATAGGTAATGTAATAATTTGTGAATTTTTAGAAAAATTGACTTTTGCATTTTTTCGTATTATTTTTTGAATAGAAAATGCAAGTCAATTTTTCAAAAAATTTCGCAATTTTTTTCCGGAAAAAAACTGTTTTTTTCCCCCGGCTCAATTTTTAAACCCTAAATTTTAGATAGTTTTTTGTTGGATTGAGAAAGACTACTTAAGATTGGGGGGCCCGGGGCGGACCGCCCCCTTAGTCCGCCACTGCTTCCGGGGTAGGTTAGAGTTTCTGTACCACTATTTTTTTAGAAATCGAGCACTGCAAATATATATTGTAAAGTACTATGGTATGAGGATAATTTTCACGTTCAAATTTAAGGTACAATTGATCGTTTCGCTTACAAGGACATTACAAAACTATATGCTACCTCAATTATTATATTAAAAAAACGCTCGTATGAATGTTACATTTTTATATGTTTCAAATATAACTTTTTTGAAAAGTTTGTTATTAGACTAGCTAGTGACTAGCTGCTAGACTAGCAGTGCTAGTCTAAACCTTTTGAATTAATTGAAATTTGAATTATTTGAATTATAATTCGTAAAATTAAGTTTTAAAAACACTCGACTTCCGTTAGATTTTTTATAAAGAGAAATAAGTAAAAGAATAATTTATATATTTTATTTTAACGTAAGAAAATAAACATATCAATTTAATATGCAATTAAAGGCGAAGAACGCGTACCGAATGGGTCACGTTTCGCTATAAATACTTGTAGCCAAAACAAGTTTATTTTAATAAAACAATTACCTTTGCAAGTATGCATATCTTTATCCAGATTGTATCCCTTGAAACAAACACATTTTCGTAAGCCTTTAATTCTGCAAATATGGGAACAGCCACCATTATTGAATCGGCATCTGGACCTAGGTTTATTTCCTAAATCCACTTTAAGATTTATTGTTTTAGTCCCATTTAAATTTTTACCTATTAAGGTATTATTTTGTTGGTAGGTTATAGTTTTGTTAAAATAAATATCTTGGTTTAAGTTGTTTAAATTTACTTCGGGATTTTCGTTTAGTTTGCTAATTAACTCGTCCAGTGACATATTTCTTAAAATTCCATTATAATTGCTGGCCGTAGTCATTTTCGGAATATTATTCTTTTGTTTTACTCGCTTGTTCTTTTTTTTCTTTTTCCTTCGTCTTTTATTTTTCTTCTTTGGTTCTTTTGATATAGTATCAACGTTTAAAATTGAGCTTGGGCCCAGAAGACTCGTAGTGTTTGCTTCATGTGAAGTATTTTGATGTCGTAATGTTCTTTTTTGCTTTTTTACTTTTATGTTTTTAGCCTTTTTAGGTTTCTTTAATGGACTGGTAGTAGTTGAAAAAATATAATTAAATAAAGAATTGGCTACCATGGGAGTAGTATTTATTTCTTGGGGCAACTTTGCATCCCATTGGAATAAGGGTTTGTTGTTACCACTAAAATCTTTTCCATTTGATATTAAATATCTTACTTTTGAAAATCGGTCAGTGTTTTTAATTTCAAATTGTCCATTTATTCCTAAAATATTTAATAATCATAATTATATATGAATTATTTTTCTTAAAGCTACATTAAAATAATAAATAAATAAATATATATATATATATATATATATATATATATATATATATATATATATATATATATATATATATATATATATATATACATGCACGGCTATCAATACGAAGCCCGGTGCATTACACTGGCTAGTCGAAGCCCGGTAATGCGGGACGGGGCGGTTAACTGTTCGTTGGTGCATAAACAACAAGAGACACACTCCGCTGTGTATCAGAAGCCCTGCGGTGTTGCCAATGTCTAAATTTATAATTATAGGCAAATTTGATTGAAAATACCTAGACTATACATAAACTTAACCTATATTTTTAAATAATGACGTAGGTATACTTAAATATTTAATAATATTGTTGAATTATAATTATTATAATAAAAATTATTATAATAATAATTATTATTAAATTAATTATAAGTCATTATTTAAAAATATGGTCTAAATTTATAATTATAGGCAAATTTGATTTAAAATACCTAGACGATACTTAAACTTAACAGTATTCTTAAATAATGACGTAGGTATACTTAAATATTTAATAATATTGTTGAATTATAATTATTATAATAATAATTATCGTTAACCCATGGGAAAAAATCGTTAAAAAAAAGACGATCGTCTGAAGAAAATCGTCTATTTTTAAACGATATCGCTTAATTTTTTAAACGATCTTTTGTAAAAAAGACGATCGTCTGAAGAAGATCGTCTACTTTCAAACGAAATCGTTTAATTATTTAAACGATCGTCTTTAATCGTCTAAAATAATAGCCGACCCTAAAGACGATCGTTTAAAGTGATAAACGATACAAAAGGCGATCGTCTAAAATAATAGTCAAAAAAAGACGATCGTTTTAATTAAAATTTTAAGTTATAACTTAACCGATGAGAAAATGTTCTTATTTTGTCATAATTATTAATTAAATTAATTAAAAAAATAATTCTAAAGTCGATACCTACCTACTTCGAATAATAGACAATTCCAAATATTCCAAAGTATATTTGAAATTCTTTATTATAATAGAGAAGAATTTCAAATATATATTTCGTCTGTACAGCCGACCGCCTAACCTACGCAACCGATTGAATCGTTTGAAAGTCGATCGTTTGAAAGACGATTGGACGAATTCGCGTCTAAAGACGATCGTCTTTAGACGATTTTTCCCCATGGGAAATTATAATTATTTATATTATAATAATTTAAAAGTATTGTTGAATTTAGGTACCTACAGGTATAAACATTTCATTTATTTTGTTTATACATCATAATTTTGAAAAGGTTTAAATATCTTATACAGGGTGCTCTACAAGCTCTATGGCAAACTTTGTCAGATGATAGCTGGGTTAATTATAAACATTTTTTCTTAAATGACATGGATGCGATTCGTTTTTGTTTAAAAGTTAAGCCTTTAAAAAATATATTTCCATATGTTAATAAAAAATATACAAATATATCAATAATTATAATTATTATAAGAATTATTGTTAAGGTTAGGTAATTTTGTGTAAAACTTAAATGGGAATCAAAACAAGTGAAACTGACTGAATATTTTTTTCATGAATTATAAAGACATCTAGTTTTTTTTTTAATTATTAGATTTAAATACACCAAAAATTCTAAAAAATCTAAATAATGACGTATACTTTAATACACTGCCCGACAAAATTATCGCATAATATATATAAAAAAAATTAACTCTAAAACGCCTTTACCAATCTTTATGAAATTTTGGATAAAAATACTTCAACTTATATCTCAATTTACGTGTTAGAGGGTTTTTCGAGAAAATATGTTTACAGCCTTTTTATTTAATAATGAAAAAAAGTTCGAAATATATCTTTTAGGGAATATTTTTAAATAAATAAAAAATTTGCTGTTAAAGAGCGTATTTTTTTAGTACACTCTGAAAATTTTGTACAAATCAAACGAACATTAACGAAGATACTTCAAAGTCGGTAAAAATGGCGCCTTTTTGATTATTTTGCTGAAAAGTGGTCATTTTTCACTACTTTGAAGCGCTGTATCTTCGTCACTGTTTGCTTGATTTGTACAAAATTTTAAGGGTATACTAAAAAAAATACCCTCTTTAACATCATATTTTTTATTTATTTAAAAAAATTCCCTAGAAGTGATTTTTCGAACTTATTTTCATTATTAAATAAAAAGGCTTTAAACATATTTTCTCGAAAAACCCTTGAACACGTAAATTGAGATATAAGTTGAAGTATTTTTATCCAAGATTTCATAAAGATTAGTAAAGGCGTTTTAGAGTTATTTTTTTATTTATTATGCAATAATTTTGTAGGGCAGTGTATTTAAAAATAGCGTGATTTATAATTATTTTAATAAAAACTATTATATTATTGAATGAATTATAAGTCATTATTTAAAAATATTGCCTAAATTTATAATTATAGGCAAATTTGATTTAAAAGACCCAGACCATAGTTGAGGAGCATCCGTGGAAAACTGGCTATATCCATTTTAATAAATGTTGGGAAAATTTAGGAAAACTAAACCAAATTAAAAGTTGAAATTGCTATTTAGTTTAGCATCCTATAAACAAGAAAAATGTATTACCAACCAAATATTGTTTTATAGCTACATTATAAAGTTAAAGCTGCCTTTTATCCAATAAAAATCGTAGATAAAATATTACTTTAACCAAAACGGTTGATAAAATAATATTGTAATGGTAAGTATAAATGGACAATCCTTATCTAAAAGGAACCAAGCGCCAAAAACTATTTTTGGACTTTGGAATTTTTTGTAAAATAACTCATTTTTAATAATGCTCAAAAAGTTTATCATTATTTAGAACTTCTTTTAAATTATTGAGAGGACTTTCAAATTATAATTAAGTTTTTGAGCAGCATTAAAAATGAGTTAGGTATATACAAATAAGTTTGTTAAGCTTCGAACAAGTTTTTGGTTACTTTTAGATAAGCACTATCCAAATAAAGAACCCAATTTCTTATTGTTGTTTGGTCGTTTTTTGCCATGTATAAATAAATTGACCAGTTGTGAATGTTAATTGACAAATTGCCATGAGAAGCTATCTGTCAAAAAGCAGTTTTTGCAATTCAATGTTACATTTAAATGATATTTAATAAAAATAATTTTTAATTTATTTCATACCGCTATTGGAAATTTTTTAAATAAATTAAAAATTATTTTTATTAAAATTGGAAATGTTTCAAATAAATTAAAAATTATTTTTATTTAAATTATTTAAATGTAACATTGAATAATAATAATATATACAAATCCCCTTGTTTCCCTAATTAAAACTATGTAAAATATCTGGACAACTTGTAAAACCGCCCCAAAGAAAAATGCACTCCAAATAATATTTCAAAAATAAATAATTCTTTAAAATTAAGTGTATTACGAAAGTATTTAACAAAACATTGCCTTTTAATCCACGCCATGTAGTGAACAAAACATAATTTTGGGAATATAACATTTATTTTGAAAATCAGTAGATACAAATTTAAGAATCCCGCATTATTTTCCCCGCCTTTCTATCAAAAAGTCATCGAGCGTATAGTCCCCATTGTTGCCAGATGTACGGGCTTCGTATACTGCGTAATACTTATACAAAGCTGTATATAATCTCGTTTGACTCGTGTGCCCCCTACCGCCAAAGCATTGGAACTAAGGGTGTATATTTTGATAGGTTTGAATGGCATTAGGAAGCCCACCACTTTTTCGCCATTGAAACAAGGGGGCATCACTTGACTCTAAAACAAATTTATACACGCTAATTTTAGGAAGCCCGATTTCGGGCTTCGTAAAAACCGAGTGGGCTTCGTTTATACTGTAGAATGTAACGTTTCGGGCTTGGTAATGTAGGATTGCATATCTATATATATATATTAGGGTGTTTCATTTAAAACGAACAATTTTTTTTTCTTGCTGACACAAAAAAATTTTGTTTTTTAGGATGAAAAAAAAATTCCCTGAAAATATGAGCCCTTAATTTTGATTCTAAGTACCTACTTCCTTTTTAATTTTGTAGTTTTTCCATATAAAAAGCATGTATTTTTAATCATTTTTACTTTAAATTTCTATATTTTGGCCGGGTTTTGAAGTATAATTTTTATCACCATAATTTCCTGCATAGTATTCACGGTTTTTGAAAGACCTTGCATCAATTTTGTTTTTGATTTATTTACGTTGTACTTAAAATCAAATCTAAGGGCTAAAATTTTCAGGTAATTTTTTTTTCAACCTAAAAAACTAAATTTTCATTTGTCAACAAGAAAAAAGAATCTTTCGTTTTAAATGAAACACCCTAATATATATATATATATATATATATGTCAACAAGAAAAAAGAATCTTTCGTTTTAAATGAAACACCCTAATATATATATATATATATATATATATATATATATATATATATATATATATATATATATATATATATATATAATTATAATATAATATAATATAATATAATATAATATAATATAATTATTATAATATATATATATATGGGGCATTCCACGCCAAATCGGATGGTTTAAAAGATTTTTTTTTGATTCCTCCAATTTTTTTTATATTTTTTAGTACTCCTTGAAATTTTGAGATTTTTTTGATCACGGGTTCAAAAGATATCAAATTTAAAAAAAAAAACGGCTTTTTTTTGTTTTTCGCTCATAACTTCTTAAAAAATGGTCCAAATCAAAATGTCCATTCTTTATAAAAATTTTGTTTTTAAATGTACCTACTTTTCGAAGAAAATATATTGAAAATATTGTTTTAAATCAAGATTTTTGAGTTTTAAAGTTTAAATCGTGTTTTTAAAAATGTGTGTCTTCTTAGATTTTCGCGATAATTTTTTATTTTCAACTTCTATCTATTCAACAACTATTCAGCCTAGTCCGGTAGTGGGCCTTCCATAATTACTATTTTTTCGAAAATTTCTCTAAAAATTATT